TTTTTGTCAGTTCCTATGCTATTGAGGTTTTGTTCATAAATAGCATAGTTCCTATGCTATTGAGGTTTTGTTCATGCCAGTGTCTTTAAGAGTTCCACCTAACTTATCTGCTAGCAAGTTTAGTGTTTCTGTTTTAATATTTAGATCTTTAATCCACTTTGATTTTAGTTTAGTGTGTGGCGAAAGATATGGGTCTAATTTTAATGAAGAAAGATTTTAAGTAGGTCAGATCATGTGTGTGTGTGTGTGTGTGTGTGTGTGTGTGTGTGTAGGGTTTGCAGAGACTTTTGGACATATCCAAGGATTTTGAGATAGACAGTATTGAATTTTTAGATTCCCCGTATTTTGTTTCAGAATATGTGACTGTAAACATGATTATTAAGCATGTTTGCGTGGTGGGGGAGGGTGAAAGACTGACTGACTGACTGACTAATTGATTGATCATGCATTCATTGATTAAATGAGACAGGTGATTTTTCCCAAAGTATCTGAGCTGAGAGAATGTAGAATATGGTTCAAAAGAATAGGCACTTTCTGTAAGAAAATGTTTGTCTAATGGGAATTGAGAACTGAGCTGAATGAGATAGGAGCTGTATCTCAAGGGCAGGTGGATTAAAAGGTCAGCTCTGGGTCCAGGTTGAACCAAGGGTTTAAAAGCCACAAGAAGCTGACTAAATCAGACTGGAAGAGGGAGCATCATGCTAAAATCTCTCCACAGTGGACAACCCTGAGGAACATGATTTCTTTGGTCCTGGAGGCATTCAGGATGAGTACCATGCCAGGCCTGGTGGTACTTGCCTGTACTCTCAGCTACTCAGGAGGCTGAGGCAGGAGAAACATGAAATTAAAGCCAGGCTGGGCAACTTAGACACTTGTCTCAAAATAAAAGTAAAAAAAGGCTGGAGGTGTAGCTCAGCGGTAGATTGCTTGCCTAGCATGCACAAGGCCCTGGTTCAGTGCCACTGCAACACACATGCACACACGCGCCCATACACACACACACGCACACACATACGCAAGAGCACCTTTGGATAGTTAAGTGGCTGGTGGACCCATCTACCATTTCTTCTTGGGAGAGAGCTTTGTCGTTTGATACTGAGGGGAAGAAGAAATGAAGTAAAGAAGAGTTTGGTGGTGATTTCCCTTGTTGGCTCAGGAGAGAGTGTAAGGTGGCAAAAAACTAATTGTTTTTCTTTTATGATTGGCCGCTGTATTTTTTGGTCCCAATCAATAATTTTTTTAGCTGCAAGGGAGAAAACCAAACTCAAAGTGCTTTAACAAAAAAGAAAATTCGCCATCTCATTGACAAGAAGCTCTGAGATTGACAGCTCCCGGGTTGGTTATAAAGAACCAAGGTTCTCTCTGTATTTCTTTCCCACCATCCAACATGTGTTGGGAAGATGCCTGCAGCTCATCCAGACTCCACAATGTTCATGGGGAAAAGAGATAAGCTCTTTTTAGATGATTCTTTTTAAGAGCAAGAAAACTTTCCCTACAAGCTTCCTAAAGCCCTCCACTCACATTTCAGTGGCCAGTATGAGTCACACAGTACTGCCTAAGTCAGCTGTCGGTGAGGGGAATGGGTTCAACCCTGTCTCAGCTAAACCGATCAGAGTATGTGTCCCCTTGGCTAGGAGTAAGGTCCTCTTCCCTGAGAGCCAGATATCTGAACTTTTGAAGAGTTTAGAGATCTCTGTACCTGGGTGGTAATGTTCCTGTGCATCCTTGCCTTGATAAAGAGCTATAGATTTGTCATGGGGCCCTCAAGAAGCCAGATCCTTTCTGTTCCCTTCTTGGTACAGTGAAAATATTGTTTTGATTCTGTTTGAATTCTGTTTGAGGAGCCATCATTGTCTCTCGCACTTTGCAGTCTTCCCTCCCACCTCCCTAGAGGCTGCCAAGTTTCTTCCCAAGTCCTCTATAGTATATGTCAAGAAGAGATGATCCCCTGGCCCTTGGCACTTTGTTTTACTGGTTTCACAAACCAGTGATTATTTCGAATTTACATTTTAAAAAAATTTAGGTGCCTTTTTTTTTCCTTTGCTGGGGATGGAATCCAAGACCTCATGCATGCTAGGTAAATGCTGTACCACTAACCTACATCCTCAGCCCTTTTAAATGACTTTATTAAGAGAGGTATAATTATAGATATAGTTACCATACTGTGTCTCCCCCCGCGCGCACGCACGCGCACACCCACACACACACACACACACACACGTACATATATCTGTATTCTGACCTGGCTTCTGGTGGAACCAACTTTCTTGGCTTTATTTTATCCACAGGCCTCTTCCTCTTCCTATTGATGGTTTCAGCACTGATACGAGAAAATGCCTGAAATGTGTAGTTCTGCCTCTTCCTGAGAGCCTCTAAAAAGTACATACCATTCTGCTCTCCACTAGCGCAGGATAAAGCTTGACTTGGGTGTTTCCCTGACCCCAGAGCTAGATGACATTTATTGAACATCTACCATTTGTGTTCCTGCCACCATAAAAATCTTAGGTGAAATAATTCACATCCTTAAAATGGTTCTGAGATTAAAGGGCAAGGGTGTTTCTCAGGTGAAAGTGGACCAAGGCGACCAGGACTCTCCTGAACTGGAGCAGAGAGCAGCCAGGTGCCTCTTTCTGGCCTGGCTCCTGTGTGGTACTTGCCTCTGAGGTCCAGTGGAAGCCGCACAGGCAGGGCTGCTGCCCTCCTGCTCCTTGGTATTTCGTGCAACCTTTAATCTAGGAAAGGTGCCAGTCTTCGTTTCTAAGAATCATGTCTCCCTAAATGGGGCAATCTCCTTCAAAGGCCTTCTTTACCAGCACCTTCCCACCTCACAGTTGGTATGTTCAAGGGATATGTTCACCTTTGTAATGACTTGTACTGTGCCAGGTTGGAGTGGGTAACTGGGCGCCTGTTGGTGTGTGCACATGCCTGCGAGTCTGCACAGATATCCAGTGCTCCCCCTCAAAGCAGCTGTGTTTGGAAGTGTTCAGGGTCATTGGGTAGCATAGGCTTCATTTTTATGTTTTCCCTATGGTGGTGAACCTTTTCTTTTTAAGCAAGCAGACTACATACTATAAAGCCCGAAGCTTTTTGTATCTTGCTGGAAAAATGCACATGCTAAGCCGAGGTATTCTCCCTGTATGGTCCCAAGTTGGAATCTGCATTATCACTCATGGCCTTTGGTACTACTGTCTGCTCCCATTTCCCCCTTCTCTTCCACTCCCAGCTTTAGGTGTTGCTCTTGCACAGAGTTGGGCTGGTCTCAGTGAAGAGGATGCCATGTGGGAAATTGCCTGTGGTTGCTCATCCTCCCTGATTTCCAATTCAGCTACCAGTCAGCCCTCTCCATCAAACTCCTCTAGAACCTGGGTTTTTTGGGCCTGCTACTCAACTTTGTCCTGAGGCTTCTCCAAGGGTGTTTTGATACCTCTGCTACCCACCACTGCACTCCCAGAAGTCAAGTCTGCACAAGGTGGTTTGGCCAAGGCTCCTGAATCACACTGAGGCACAGGAGAGCCTTGGGATAGAGGCACAGGGAGACCTGCCCTTGAGTCAATTTCCTGATGGTAGGAACAACTTTCACTTGTCAGTTACCCACATCCCCTTTGTGATGAAGTCTGATGTGCAAAAGTCCAGCCCATAGCAGTGGCATTGGTCTACCTGGGAAGTTGAGGAGTTTTGAATCCAGAAAGTTTAGCAGAAGAAAGCCCCTCATCTTGTAGCAGGGCAGGTGCAGCTCATGCTTTTATTGTTTTATTTTCTTCTGCTGCAAAAAAACATTGGTGGTACTTGGAATATGGGTCATGGGCCAGGGATTTAGCTCAGTAGTTCCAGCGCCTGCCTTGCAAGGACCCAAGTTTGATCCCTGGTACCAAAAAAAAAAAAATACTGGTCAGTGAGAAGTAGGATTTTTTACAGGAACTGACTTTGGAGAATCCTCACCTCAAAAGGAGAAGGAGCCTATAGATACCAGTACAGAGGGAACAGTGGGGTGGTGGTCCTAACCCCCACAAGGGAGCTGTAGTGCTTTCAGGAAGATTTGGGCTTTCAGCAGTTTGAAAGAAGGGAGGTGAGGTTGGGCACAGTGGCACACAGTTGCCATGCCAGCACTCAGTAGGCTGAGGCAGGAGGATCATAAGTTAGAGACCACTCTGGGCTACATAGGGAGTTCAAGGCCACCATGGAATACAGAGCAAGACTCAGTACATTACATGCAGAAACCACCATCACCAAGAACAACAACAAAAACTCAAACAAAACCCAGAAGGGAGGTGGACGTAATGTGGTGCTGAAGCGAGGATGAGAAAGTCACATGCAGATACCTTGAGGAATGAGTGAGTGCAAGACAGACTTGGCACACAGATAGGGGAGGGTGTTCAGAGTCCAGCATTGAGGGCTACAGAATAGGAGAGAACATTATTTTGTCTTGCCTTGCCCTAACTAGTTTGGAGAGTAGAGAAGGGTTCTGTGATGCATTGCATTCCAGTATTTCCAGATCGTCTAGGAAGGGGGCCTCTGGACAGCAACAAGAAGGCTGATGTGGGTGGCAACACCCAGTGTTTGGGGCACATTGGCAGCCAGGTGACACCACAGCCAGCTTGGATTCCAGTTCCTGTTTCACCAGAGAGGTGCATCTCTGCAGTGTGCGTGTGTGCGTGTGTATGTGTGTGTGTGCGTGCGTGCACGTGTGTGCGTGCGTGCTGTATCTGGTGTCTCTTTAAGAGAAAAGAAGGGCACTTAGAAAAGGCAAGGTTGTTGGTAGCTAGAGAGCAGTTGCAGTTAATTATGGAAGGAATTTTTCCTAATCCCGAGCATATACAAGCAGGGCCCTTAAGCTTTTCTGGCTGGCCTGTATGCTTCCCTCCTTTCCTCCCTCCCTGCCTCCCATCCTTCCTTCCTTCCTTCTTTTTTCCCTTCCTTCTGCCTTCTTTTGTGGGAGAGCAATTGGTATTTGTTGTGTTTATCAGAGATTAACGTTTTAGGCCCCTCTTCCACAATTCAAGGAGCAGTCTGGAGAGCTGTGTCTTCTAGGCATCTTCTGAAGAGTGTTGTGGTTCAGTTCCCAAGAACACACACACACAAAAGGTGAAGAAGGCAATCTAGAGTGTCCACTTCAACATGGTACATTTTTTTGTTTTAATCTGATTGTGTAATGTTTATAGCATTCTCTAAATTTTGCTGTTTATTATGGTAATTATATTGGGTTCTATTCAATTACTTATATCTCACCTTGTCCTACAAATTTTGCTTTATTTTACAGTACAAATACATGTGATATAATAAACAGTGCAATGCAGAAATGAACTTAGGATCAGGATAAACACAAATAAAGAAGTTCAAGTCAGGAGGGAAAAGAATCACAGGTGTGAAGGTGCTGAATCCCTTATATTGCTGCTTGTCTCTGAGCTTCGTAGCACCAAAGACAAAAGGGCAGTGTGGTCACCTCAGTAGTTCTTACTGTCAGAGAAGGAAGACATCCAGATCCTCAAGAAAAGCAAAGATTCTTTTAGTTCTTTTCAGTTGAATTTTCCGTGCAGAGTTTATTGTAGAAGACACTGAGTGGTACAGTGAACAGGGTGTTTAGCATCCCCAAAGCAGATGAAACCCTAGATTCTTACAGGTCTCTCATAGAGTCCTCATTGGAAGTTCAAGGCATAACATCAAAATGCACCTCAGTGAAAGTAATAAAGAGATCTAAGTAGTTAGCCTTCTCATTGGATTTGATGCAACACTAGATCCCCACCTCACCCTGTGGAGTTGGTGGTCTACAGGTTCATCACATAGTCTTCCTGACTGTTACTCTGTTCAATTAGAGAGAGAGAAAGTGTGTGTGTGTGTGTGAGTGTGTGTACGTGCACACATGTGTGCATGTGCATTTCTGCGTGCCCATACACGTACATGAATAGGTATGTACACCTATAATATTACATATAAGTACACAGTGGTATATATGAAGAGGGGGTTGGAGATGATACTGTGTTGCCCACTACTGTATGGTAGCTCACTGAGGCTTTAGGAATTGACCTGGTGAAGCTGACATCTATAGAAATTAAGGCCTCTATTTGAAACATTCACAGAGAAGAGTTCTATTTTTGTAAATAGGATAATGGGGTAGAAAACTGTGTTAATATCTGTCTTTATTTAACCACTCTCAGGGACAAGGCTTAACTTAAAACCATGATGCCACAGTGCCATCTCTATGTGGGAATTTATAAAGCATGCAGAAGTCAAAGCCAGACTGTCAGGTCCCATACTTGCATCTCTAATGGGAAAATGGAGGGTGAGAAAGCCGGTAGACAGTGGCAGGTGGGTGAGGAGGGAGAGGGGCAGTGAGGTGGACAAAGGTCACAGACAGGGTTTCGGGGAATGCCTCATGAGACCAGGCATGTGTCCTGTCAGAGCTCTGGTTTATTCTAAATGACTTTTCATGAACTTCGGTCCTTGTGGAGATTTTGGCAGTGACTGGTACCAGCACAGCATGGGCCGTTGCACAGTGTGGACAGTTGTAGAGGAGGGCTGGGTGCGGGAGGTGTACAGGGAGCAGCATCCTTAGAGTCACTACTGTTCCCACTGCTGTTCACCTGGTGACCTCCTTTGAGAGACTCTCAGATGGCTGAGTGTGGCTTTGCCGTCAGAGAGAGCTGGCTCCAGGCTCTGAGTTTTCTTATCCAAGAAAAAGGAGGGAGGGATTGACAGTGTTGTACCCCAGACTCATCAGCATAACTAAAGGCTAATTATCCTAATGATGGTCATCAGAGGTCTTTCTTAAAACCGTGTGAAGTAGATTGCTTGCTCCCCATTTTACTGATGGTAAACTGAAGCATAGGAAAGTGAATTAACTCAGCCAACATCTTTCATCTTGTGTCAAAGCTAGAATTCAAACTAGGTTGTGTAGCGCCCAAGCCTGTTGATCCCTGTTCTCTGCCACCTCTGTTTATGGATAACTGTCTTGGACCACGTGACTCGGATATGTGGGCTGTGATCAAAGCACCATTTGAGCCCACTGTGCTGGTGGGTGACTTTCTATGCCCTGAAATCCCATCTGCTGAGTTGGGGCGGTGCTTTGTACAATAGCAGTAGGAATCCAGGCCAGAGTGGTCTTTCTCACTCATGTTTACCCTGTCTGCCATTCTGCCTTGAAAACATCCCTGTCTGTGAGGCGGTTCCACTAGACGATCACGGGGGAACTTAGCAGGCTTATGTCCTTATGCCTGTGACAGTTGTGGCAGTTTTCCTTTTACATTTCTGTCCAAATCCAAATTTTTGTTTTTGGACCTTGTTAAATCTAGTATAATAGGCTTGGGCTCACTTGATGTATAATGGAAATAGCCTGGTGTGGTATAAGCTTCTGGCTAGGGTCACCACCTGCTCCCACAAAGCCAAGTAGCCAGTAATTTCGTACAGATCTTTTCATAGTAATAGAATAATGGAAAGCAGATGGTGCACCAGGAGGACTGCTTTTTCTTTGAGGCTTTGAGGGCCTGTTTTGGGGCAAAGTGTGTCCCCCTCCCCCAGTTCACTTGTTGAAGTCCCGACTCCCCTGACTTCCCATTGTGACCTTATTTGGAAACAGGGTGGTTGCAGATGCAGCTGAGATGAGGTCACACTACAGTAGGGTGGGTCCCTGATCCAGTATGAGTGGTGTCCTCATAAAAGGGGAGATTTGGACACAGACGTGCCCATAGGGAGGATGGCAACAGAACATGAAGACAGAGATTGGGGCAATAGATCTGCAAGCCAAGGGGCATCAAAGATTGCCCAAGACCGCCCAAAACTGGTTGAGTGCTCGGAACAGCTTCTCCCTCCCAACCCGCAAAGGAACCAACCTGCCATTCACCTTCCTTGATCGTGAACTGCTGGACTGGAGATCTGAGAGACAATAAACTTGTGTTGTTTAAGGTCCCCCATATGTGGTACTGTGTTCCTGCAGCTCTAGCAGACTGATAGCAGGCCCATGGAGAAACAGTGACTTACAGACTCCAGAGGAGAAATGGAAATCCTGACACAGGTTAAAGTTTCCACTGAGCCAGGGAGTTTGGTTTAGGGCTGAGGCTTCTGGAAGTAGAAAGAAGAGAAGCAGCCAAGACGCCAGACCAGCTTCTGAAGAATGAGGTGTTGTTGAGGTGTTGCTCCAAGGTGATCTTTTACCTCATTCTTTGGCGGGAGAGTGGGGGAGCAGTTTTGTCCATTAGAGTTAGAAATGTATTTTCTTTAAAACTTCAAGGTGACAGTTTTTTGGGGTTGGTCATCTGTAAGTTTAAATGTCACCCTCTAGAAGAGCTATACAAGAGCTTTCTGTAGTGATGTTAATGCTCTGGACCCACTAGCCATGTGAAACAGTTCAGCAGTTGAGGTGTGGCCAGGGAGCCAAGGATCTAATGTTTTATCACATTTTAATTAATATAACTGCAGATATTCATGTGTAGTTGTGGCCACAGTGCTGTCTGGTGTGGATCATACAAGAGCAGCAGTGGGAAGAGCCAGAGGAATACTGTGAGGGTCCCTGGCCCATGAGTGCTGCTCACGAGGAGGCTGGGGCTGGCAGTCGCCCTGGGATCCTTGGTGTCCTGGGTGTGATCTCATCCTGTGCTGTAGGGGCTCTGGTGGAAGGAACAGGAAGTATCACAAGCCGGGTTTTCTGAATGCTGTACTACAGATATACACAACACAGGTTTTGTTTATTGCTCCCTCTCCAAGCCTGAAGTAACTTGGACTGGTTAGTACTCCATAGAGAGGGGTAAATTAACAAGCTGAGAAGTAAGGAAACCATATGTATGCTTTGTAGACTGGGAAGCTTCTTTTCAGGTTTTGTGTGCCACCCACAAAGTACCCTGAAGGCCTCTGGTCTGAGCATTAGGGAGATGGGGATGTCTACATTCAGACCCCTTCTGAAGGGTAGGAAGGGTTCCCTGGAGTCTGTGATACGAGATTTGCTGCTTGCAGGCACCTGCTAAGAGCCCTGAGAGCTCAGCCACTTTGGTATCTCATAGTTGCCACCCACCTTGCCCCCTGGATGCCCTGCTGCTCCTTGGAGCACGTGACCAGAGGATGCTGTTCGGGGAGAGTGCATGTGGGATAATTCAGGATCTAAAATGGAACCCCAACTGGGCAACATTAGATGCAATTTCACATAGAAAAAGAATGAAGGCTTGCGACTGTTCTGGCTGGTCCTGGACAAATGAGTGTTGTCATTGTGTCACCACTCGCTTTGGCTCAGTGCCCAGTATAATTTTAAAATTGCTTCTTTTCCAACTCTACTTATCATTATGACTTCAGAGAGAAGCCAGTAGCTCATTAATTCTTATAATTTCTCTGACCTCCGAGACAAACAAGGGTATCTTGCAGAGGTGCTGAGTGTCAGAAAGGTGCCTACCTGTCCCTTGGCCTCCTCCTTCCATCACAGTGAACTCTAACAATAGAGAGGATGGTGTAGGAGGGGCACTTCGAGGTGTGATGTGTAGCCAGAATTCCTGGGTCTTGGAGGACAAAGTTTTAGTTCAAGAAGAGGTTAAGAAGAAAGAGGTTGTGGGAAAGCTGTGGTCACCTTCAGCAGATTTGGTAACTTGTACAGTGGACCCTTGACTTACGAACTCAATTCATTCCTGAGGGCTGGTTGTAACTTAAGTTGGTCAGTGAAGGCTCAGGCTCCTCTGCACACCATTCAAAGTCTCTCTCCTGTGTACAGGCAGATCTCGGTATCCTTAGAGAGACATTGGCCCAGTATTTCTCAATTAAACCCACACAGGAAACGATGTTGTCATGTTCCTTCCAGAATTCTTTAAGGGTTAAATCTGTATCAGACCATCTGGAGGCAGAAACTGCTGGCATTCAGGTTGTAACTCAAGACTTTGTTCATAAGTTAAAACTAACATTCCGGTCGTAACCCAAGTTGTTCCTATGTCAGGCCAGTTGTAACTCGAGGGCCCATTGTACCAGAGGCATGATATCATGCTCAGGGACTTGGAAGACATTAATAAGCAATAACAGCTGACAATACTCATATTCATCTGGTCAGTGCTTAATGTGGCAAGCACAGTTCCAAGCTTAATACTTTACATGTATTAGCCCACATAACCCAAGCTCTTTTTCTCCAAGAACTTACCTTGTTACAGACAAGATAA